CCCCCCCCCCCCCTCTGCAGAATGTCTGTCTCTATGTGCTTGTTTGTGCGAGGTGTTTTTTAACATCAGGTTTTTTTCTTAGGCATGAAGAAAAAGTTTAATAGGAGTTTTTTCACCTCCAATTCCTACGTGTCCAGTTTCACTACTTTTTGTCTGTCTAAACAGATCTCACTTGTAAATGAGTCTTCTAGGCTCAATGTGTCTTATCTGTCTAAATAAAGGTTTAATGAATCTGAAGATGGGGCCCTGGTACAGTCTTTTAACAAGACAATATCTGTCTAGATGTGGCATGTGAAGTTCTCCGGTCGAGCAAAATCTTTTCTCCATCAAACGTGTCATCAGCTTATGTATCAACTCTGAACCAAAACTAGTCTGCAAAAGCTAAAGAGACAGTTAAAACCACTGTGAGCCAATATGCAGCTGAAGATGATGAAACAGCCGTTTGAATTTGTTTTGTACAAAATCGCTGCTTTTATCCAGGCCTGAAGGTGTCACACCCTGCTGTAATGGCAATAGCAATGTGGCCCTTCTGCCAATTCTGTTATTTGATCTGATGGAAATATTGCCATATAGTCACATTTCTTCAACATGTGCAGTATGCATTTATTTTACTGCTCTCTTTGGATGCTTGACCTTTTTTTCGTTTAAGAAAATTGGGAGCATAATGTTGGCCATACTGCCTTGACATAGTTTTGCACATCGAGGTTTTGGAAATCACAGCCTTTTTGTATACATAACTTGCAAAATTACATTGTAGGCTATACACATTATTTCTATATAAAAAAGAAAATGACCATCAAAAATTGTCCAAAACTTTACAGACTAGAAATTTTGAATATTGGCAAACAAACTTGTCATAAAAGAAATGGTTCCTTTGCAATGGACAAACACCAGGTGTCTTGGTTCGTTCAAATAAAATTGTCACTGCTCGTGGTGAATTTAGTCTGCCTGTAGTCAAAATTGCCACAGTGGGAAATAACCACTTGTCAGAGTCAGAGATTCTTTATTGTCATTCGCACCACATGTGGTACATGTGGTGGGATGAAATTATTTACACAGGGTCCCAGTTACATCCAACAATAAAATGTAAAAGAAAAACAATTATGACATCTAAGATATGAACTAAGTAGACATCCCATTCCTAATCTATAGGGTTAAATTTGACGTTGGTCCACCCTTTGCAGCTAGAACAGCTTCAACACTTCTGGGAAGGCTGTCCACAAGGTTTAGGAGTGTGTTTATGGGGATTTTTGACCATTCTTCCAGAAGTGCAATTGTGAGGTCACATACTGATGTTGGACGAGAAGGCCTGGCTCTGTCTCCGCTCTAATTCATCCCAAAGGTGTTCTATTGAGTTGAGGTCAGGACTCTGTGCAGACCAGTCAAGTTCATCCACACCAGACTCTGCCATCCATGTCTTTATGGACCTTGCGTTTTGCACTGGTGCACAGTCATGTTGGAAGAGGAAGGGGCCAGCTCTAAACTGTTCTCACAAAGTTGGGAGCATAGAATGCTGACACAGTCAGAGTTCCTTTCAGTGGAACTAAGGGGCCAAGCCCAGCTCCTGAAAAACAACCCCACACCTTAATTCCCCCCCCCCCCCCCAAACTACACTTGGCACAGTGCAGTCAGACAAGTATCGTTCTCCTGTCAACCGCCAAACCCAGACTCGTCCATCAGATTGCCAGATGGAGAAGCAGGATTCATCACTCCAGAGAACGCGCCTCCACTGCTCTAGAGTCCAGTGGCAGTGTGCTTTACACCACTGCATCCAACACTTTGCATTGCATTTGGTGATGTATGGCTTGGATGCAGCTGCTCGACCATGGAAATCCATTCCATGAAGCTCTCTGCGTACTGTTCTTGAGCTAATCTGAAGGCCACATGAGGTTTGGAGGTCTGTAGTGATTGACTCTGCAGAAAGTTGACAACCTCTTCGCACTATGCGCTTCAGCATCCGCTGACCCCGCTCCGTCAGTTTACGTGGCCTACCACTTCGTGACTGAGTTGCTGTCATTGCCAAACACTTCAATTTTCTTATAATACAGCTGACAGTTGACTGTGGAATATTTAGGAGCAAGGAAATTTCACGACTGGATTTGTTGCATAGGTTACATCCTATCCTGGAATTCACTGAGCTCTCGAGAGCGACCCATTCTTTCACAAATGTTTGTAAAAACAGTCTGCATGCCTAGGTGCTTCATTTTATACACCTGTGGCCATGAAAGTGATTGGAACACCTGATTCCAATAATTTGGATGGGTGGGCAAATACTTTTGGCAAGGTAGTGTATCATTTGCCATCACTACATCACATTCTTTAGCTACAAAGGCAGCTTCCTTTTTTGTATGTGAACTTTTATGGCTCCGTTACTAACTAACTTGGTGGCACAATGGCACAACAGCAGCAGTCTGGCCCACTATGCCAAGACAGCAAGGGGAATTAATACCAACCCACTTCTAATATATCTTTGTTCCTCAAAGCAAGGTAGTAACAGAGTCAAAACATGTATTAAAAACAATCGGCTTTTGAAAAGGTAAGCCTGTGCTGTCGCTTAATATTGTGATGAAATGACATTGTTTATGTGGTCACCCAGTTGCAGGATTATAAACGTCAACAAACAGATTTATTACAGAGGGTAGACTGATAATGATGCATAGCAACGTGGTATTTATATATAAAATAAAAAAAATTTAAATACAAAGAGAATCACCAAACTGAAAATTTGAAAAAGGATACAAGGGAGACATCTGACAAACATTTAATGCATTGCGTTCCATGCCAACATAGCTGAGGTCTGCCCCACACCTCCTTTCAATTATGAAAACTCACTTCTTTTTGGGATGTGGCCAGCTGTATCAGTGATTTAGGAACAGCCAAAGGTAGAAAGGTTTGTAAGCTCAATCATCCGGGTAGATAACAGCGAAAAAAAAGGTAACGGTCGCAGACTGACGTAGTCCTCCAGATGGGGGACGAAACGTTTCTCATTTAAAGAAACTGGTCCAGATGACATGATTTAACCTTTTTTGTAGCCAAAGGTAACAAAGAAATGGACTGGTCTGTGCAGACTTTTTTTTTAGAACTTTTTATGAAAGAGCCGTTAGTCTTGGATTGAAAGTCTTTTGTGAAAGTGTCTATTGCTAAGTTTGTAGCAAGCAGTAAAATATTCCAGGGTTTGTTTTTCATATAAATCTTAGGTTAAAAAAACATAACTGCTAAACAAAAATGATGTCTAAATTACTGGTAATCTTTAACAAAAACTTTCATTTAAAAACTGCTTCTCATGTATTTGCCCTTTTCGTAGAACAAACTTGAAAATCACTGGTTTTAATATATATTTCTTATTCCTTACAGGTGCTAATACAAATTGGAAAATACCAGGAGTAAACATGCATCTCTTGTGGACATCTTTTGAGACCAAGTGCTGAGTGGCTGCACCGACTGCTATTTTAGGACTATTTTTGTCCATGTCCATGATAGAGATTTAATTGTACATTCAGGATCAAAGTGATGCCATCCGCTCACAGACAGAATAATTTTATCATGGAAAGGCAGACAGCTATGAATAATGTTGCTATAGCACAATTAATTGGAGAATCAAGTACTTTCATATGCACAGAGTGTGGTGATGGATTCAGTCAGTACTCAAATTTGTTGATCCATATGGCCGTTCATGGACCTTTGGAGTCATTTTCCTTTGATGGATCATCCTATGGATTTGAAATTCCTCGAGAATATGTACTTCAAGAAAACGGTACACTGACCGCTATAAGTTGTTTGCCACAGTCCCATTCTTTAAATTCCCCTGTGAAACCAGTATCTCCTGGAGTATTGCCTTCACATTTACCATCACCTGTTAAACCAGTGTCTCCAAATTTGAGGTCACAGCTCTCTTCACACAAAGACACATTCAAGCCCAAGCCATCTGATTTGAATCTGGACAAGTCTCAGCAGCGCCATTGTCGCTGTGAAATATGTAACAGGTCTTTTAACAGCCTGCAGAGTTTACATTACCACCAGCAGTATCGAAACACAGGGAGAGGCTACAAGTGCACTTTGTGCTGCAAGATCTTTGAAGATCAACATGACTTCAAGAAACATCTTCAGAACCACATCCATGAACAATTTAACTACTGCGATCATTGTGGTAAGAGATTTCTTAAAATGGATGCGCTGAATGCTCATCATAAAGAAAAGCACCCCTTGCCCAAAGCTTTGAGAGAGAACAAAGAGGAAAAAAGGTTGGAAAAAGCATATAACTGTAAGAAATGCATGCTGAGTTTCTTCTGGATATCAGATTTTCAGATACACTCCATATATTACTGCAAAGGCCAAGAGCTTGATTCCGTTTTTTCATCTGACATAGACATGGAAGTGGATTCTAAGGATCCTGAAGACGGGCATCTTGTAAACTGCCAAAGCAATGGCACATCTGATGTAAAGAATGGAGATAGTAAAGTCTCAAAGCACACCAACAGTGAGAGCGATTTGAAGCCCACACCATACAGATGTGGTTTATGTGGGGATCGTTTTGAGAAGTTATCAGACCTAAAGGAACATCATCTCACACATCAAACACAGGAAGAAATAGATAAGCTTAATCAGGAATCACAAAATATCTTCAAGCGAAGAATCTTATCTAAAAGCAGAAAAAGAAGAGATCAAAATGGAAAACTACATCCTTGCAAGCACTGCTGTCGTGTCTTTAATCATTCTAGTAGTTTATCTCGGCACATGAGATATCATAAAGGTACCATGCACAATTGTACATTTTGTGGTAGACTTTTTCCTCAGCGTTGTGACTTGAGAAGACATGTCGCTATGTATCACAAAGCTGAATTAGAAAAGAAACCAGCATTGAAACACTTTTATGCTAATCCACAAAATGGGCCTTCGTCCAATTCTGGTGATGTTGAGAAAAGCACAGACACTCCTGATGAGAACACGAAGGGCTCCTCTAACAATGAACTGATATCAACAGAGAGAAGTCCAAAAGATAAACAATCAGGAAAAGCAGTCCGAGGTAACTACAAGTGTCATGAGTGTGGAAAGAAATTTGGGCTTTTGTGTGTATACCAGCGACACTTGCGCTATCACAAGAAAGAACCCAATAAATGTCCCCATTGTCCATCTCTGTTTAAGAACGCATCGTCCCTTGAGCTTCATCTTCGAATTCACCCGATAATTGAAAAAGCAGATGATGACATTGGACAAACATCTCATGACACTGGAACAGATTCTGACAAGCCCCTTAAAAAGGATAATGCAGAAGACATGGAGGACACCTATATGGACCAAAAACAAACTGATAAAGGAAATTCCACAGAAGCTTTTTACAAATGCACTGAGTGCACAGACACATTCTCATGCTTGGACACATTTCTTCAGCACCAAACATCTCATGATTCAAAAACAACTGCTAAGGAATGAAAATCCAGAAAGCATGGGTGGAGAGTGCTTTTTTTTTTTTTTTTAATCAAATGCACAGTTTAAAAAGGTAGGCAAAACAACAACAACATATGCCTGCTGTGGTTCATATTAAAACATCATCCTAAAAGCCACCTTCACCTTTGATTGCTTTTACGTTAGAAGTCTTATTAGCAGCGGTAAATATTTAGGATTTTCATTTTCTTTGTGGATGATCAATTTGTTGTATGGCTTATTGTTTCTTCTTTTATTAAATATGCAATTATATGTTTTCAAGTCGAGTTTATATTCATTCGCATCACGTGTGGTACATGAGGTGGAATGAAATTATGTACTCAAGGTCCCAGTTACACCCAAAAATAGCAAAAATATAAAGTGTAAAAAGAAACAGAATATAAGGATTTGAGTGTATTTTATTAGTTTGCTAACATTTTAAAAGCATAGCATTGTCACTTAAAAGATTTAAGCAAATTAAAAATTGTTTGAAAAAAATTAAATGTTTTAAATTTTGTGTTGATTCATTTTTTTTCTGTTTTGACTCAAAGGCCAAGTGTACATTTGTTCTACATGAAGTTGATGGGTTCATTAGTAAATGTATTCTAAGTTTTAACTGATGATTTTTTTTTTTTAGGAACGCAAAAGTTTTGTAGCCATCTCAGTTGTAGTCTCTGAAAGTTAAAAAAAAATCGGAAATCATGAAACTGATTTAAGTTGTGTTCTACATTTTGACCAATGCATGAGCAGCAAGTACATTCACATTTTTCAGACTACTGTTAATTTTTTTATGAACTTTACAATTCTGTTAAAAATGGAGATGCCTTTTTAATTTTACTATCTACCGCCTATACAGTAGTCCCTTGATTATCGTGGAGGCTACGTTCCAGACACCCCTGCAATACGTGAAAAACTGCGAAGTAGAGACGCTAT